CACCCATCCATCAGCACCCACTTATCACCCATTCATCTATCCACCCATCCATTCATCATCCATCCACCCATCACCTGTCCATCTGTCCATCCGTCCGTCCATCCTTTCACTCCCTCACTCATCACGATGCATCTTCAACACATATCAGGCCCTGTGCTAGAAAGAGAAGACACAGTCCCTGCCATCAAGTCGATAAAATGCAGCAGGTGTCAATACCATGACAGAAGATGCGGCACACTGGGGACACAGAGCGAAAGTCTAGAAGGGGGGTCTGGAGGGTGCAGTGGGGAAGGTGTCCTGGGGGAGTTGTCACTCTCATCACGTCCCCACGGCTGTGGGTGTGCAGTAGGGAAACCTGAGCCTGGGGCCAGTCCCCATGGCAGGCGTGTCACAAGTTCTCTGTGAAGCCATTTTCCCACCGATGGTGGTGGGAACCCCACTTCACTGGGCCATTTTAAGGCTGGAGGGACAGACGCGGTTCCGGGAAGCCCTCACAGGCACTTGTCATGGACATTGTCTTCCCTGGCTCAGGGTGGAGGGGTGTCTAGTCCAGCTCTTCGGGGTCCTTGGTCACTGAAGTGTGTGTGGATGCACTCGCGTGCACATGCCGTCCCCCTGCCATTCACGCTCCAGCACTGTAGGCCGATGCGTCCCGGGACCAGGAGGCCCAAGGGTGCAGGATGGCACCCCAGACGGGCCCTGGCCCAAATCCTGGATTAGCCCTTCCCACCTGAAAGCACTTCCGTGTCCATGGCCAGCATCTGCCGAGTGCCCCACAGTCATCTCGGGAAGGGGGCAGGGCAGGGGCTGCGAACCCTACTTTGCAGGTGAGAAGGCAGCGGGCAGACCACTGGAGAGCTTTAGATGTGGGGGCTCTGGTGTCCCCAGCCTACGGTGAACCCCGGCTCTGCCTCCGCCTCCCCCTGTGACCTGGAGCTTCACCTCTCTGCACTTCGATGCCCCATGTGAAGAGAGGGACGTGGACAGTACCACCTCAGAGCCGTGGCCGAATTAAATGAGCTCGAGTCTGAAAATGCTCAGGGAAGTGTGTGGCACGCTTGGTAGTTTGGGAATATTATTAATACGAATTCAGCTCTCCTGCCTCCTGAGCGTGCTCTTCCCGCCCCCACCCCCCGCCCGCCACTCCCCCACCCCGGGCCTTTCCAAGGATTGAAGACAGCAGCTGGTAGTGGGAGGTGGCTGCTTTAAATAGGAGATGAGAAGAACAAAAGGAAAATAGAACAGGGTGGCGATTGTGGCTAAACTTTCCCAATCCCCCTCCCAAACAGGGGGAGGGTCCGCGGGGCACACTCAGATGTTGCCTGCTTCTCTCCTGAAGGAGCTGAAAGCTGCTTCCCAGCTCAGTCACTCCTGCTTGGAGGGGGGCACTGGTTTGCGCTGGGACCCCACAACCCAAGGGGACACCCCCCTGCCTGCCTGTTCTCCAGAGAGGCAGGAAGTAGGTTAAGTGGGATCCTGGAGCTTCTCCGCCTCCCTTCTAAGACGACATTAAATATTCATCGGATTTCTCCTGAGGCCACACGGAGTGCTTCAAAGGCAGCCTGCCCCCTTGGTGGCATGCGGTGACAAGTCCTCCCTCTTCACCTTCTCCCACTAACTGCCCCAGTGTCTGCGGGGGGGGGGGGGCGGGGGGCAGTTTCCTTTGGCCAGCACTCACCGCTCTCCCAGGCAGAGGGACGGAGCCCTGTACACCGGCCTCTGAGCAGGGCTGCCAGTGTCTTGCACCCCGGCTCTGGCGGGGTCTGGCCGCAAGGATGGAGGTGTGAGTGGGTGAGCCATTGCTCCTGCACACAGTGCGCAGGGACAGGCCGGCCGGGCTGCAGGCCTGCAGCCCCAATCCGCTAAGTCAATGCCCGGGGGCTGCTCGGTGTGAGCGGAGGGCCCGGCAGTGGCCCGGGGCCAGTGGCAGTACGCCGCCAGGGGCTGGACGGACCGAGGCACTGACAGACTGGGGTGACCCCAGCTGTCTGCCGGGTGGGGGGTGCACAGAAGGCCGGCGAATAGAGCCGGCACAGAGACGAGCAGGGCCAGGGGAGGCCCGCAGGCCGAGGCTCAGGTTCTGGCTAGTGGCTTCCCCACTGGACCCTGGGCAAGACAGCTCATCCTCCCAACCTCAGATTCCTCATCTGTAAACGGGGACAGTGACTACCACCTGGGAGGTCTGCTGAGGACACAGGACATCGTGGTCATGAGGGAGGGAGCCTGGTGACCGCCAAGTGGGACATACTCAACAGACGGCATTTTCTTCCTCCTCAACCCCAGCAAAGCCCTCACCTTCAGCCCGCTCCCTTCCCCTCTTGCCCTTTGGTCAACTCCAGTCCGACCGCCCCACTTCCCAGAGCATCTCAGCGGTGTCCTCGGGCCCCCATGTAGCTACATGCTGCTCCCTCAGCCGATGGCACCTTCCCCCGGCCTCCCCACCCCTGGAAAATGCCAGGGCCTAGCTCAATGCCACCTCCTCTGGAAGCTTCCCCACCCCGTGCCTGGGCAGTGAGTTGCTCCCTTTTCTGAACCCCATATTTCCGTGAACCCTGCCCCCTCTCTCCTCTTCGTGGATGACTTCAAAGCATCTGCTTTTCTCTTCTGGGTCTGTCCTCCTCAACAGACCTCAAGCCATTCAATGCCAAGGATGGTGCGTCCTTCATTATCTCCCTCTCCTCTTCAGCTCCTGTCCGCTGATGCTCGTTGAACCACTGGCCAGGAGTGGGGAGGGCCCTGTGAGGAAGGTCGGGATGACCATGCTGGCGGAGACACAGCTGCCGTGGTGCCCGGTCACCTGACCTGGCCCGACAGTGACTAGACCTTCTGTGGGAGCAGGAGTGGGGTGGCAAGCAGGGAGGGGGTCCTTTGCCTGGACCCAAGGAGCACCACTGTATCACAGGCCTGTGAGGGCCAGGCCCTTACTAGCCCCATCTCGCTGAGGCTCCACCCCATCCTGAGGGGCTGGGTGTCAGCTGGGAAGACACGTAACAGCACAGCCCGGGGGCGTCACCTGCTCCAGAGGCAGGCCCAGAGACTCCCAACGACCTCAGGAGGCTGGGGCTTCTTATCCCCATTCTGCAGACAAAGCAACCGGGGCACAGAGAGGTTAGGAAGAGCAGGGCCAGGCCTGAGCCACATCAGAGGACCTCAGAAGTCCACGCTCCCAGATGCCACCCCCACCACCTCGGCTGCAGGCTGAGCCAGCCTCCCTGATTGGCAGCCACGGGTGGCAGATTAAAGGAGAGAACAGACGCAAAGCAGGCGGTTAATAAACCATAGCTATTCCAGGCCTTGGCGACCCCTCTCCCGTCTCTCCTCTCTGTGCGCCCCCAGCCTCTCCAGCCTTGAGTCAGCCTTTGGGGAGACCTCGACTTCCAGTTCTTGTGCACCCCACTGCACTCAGGTCAGGACGCTGCAGGGCACCAACTCAGCAAGCACTTACGTCCACGAGGGACCCGACGGCACCAGTCTCCCTGCCCAGGCGCACTGGTCTTTGAGCACATCCGAGTGGCCTGAAGCCACACCATCCAGCACACCTGTTGACACATCTGGTTACAAGTGGACTCAGCCTTGGAAGGGTGCGGCTGGACCAGGCGCCGAGACTTCCCAGCCTGAGTGTCCTAGGTGGGCCATCTCAGGAAGGCCCCGTGGGCAGGGGGCACGTAGGCTGCAGGGAAGGGCAGACTGCCCCAGCTCTGCCCAGCATTTTAGGGTCTGAGACTTGGATTGAGGGGCCAGCCCCTGAGTGGAAGGGGCTTCACAGTCCCACAGTGTGCCCCCCTCATCCTCAACTCACTTCTGCCTCCTGAGTCTTTACTCCCACCGCCTCTTGGCCTGGGGCAGCCCCTCCCCCAGGGAAGCCCCCTCCCCGTTCAAGAGCTGCTTTCAGGCCTCAGCCATCAGAGGCCCCCCTCATTCCCGGGCTGGGCATGGAGGCACCCCTTCCTCCTCCTGGAGGGCCCTGGCCTATCTTTGGTCACATCACTTTTTCTGTCCAGTTGAAACAACTGGGTTCAAATGTGCCTCTGCACCAGACCACACCAGACCGTGAGCGCATGAAGGGCAGGGTCTGTGGCTTTTCCATCTTTGTGTCCCTGCCCCTGGGGCCTGGCCCTCAACAGCTGTTGAATGAACACCTTCGAACTAAAACTCCATTTTGTGAGGCCGAAAGCACCTTTATGGCTATGGCAGCTCAGTCTGGCCACCGAGGGTGTCTCAATCGGTGTCCGCGTGGCCCCAGCAATGGCCTGCAGCCCCTACCCGGGATGCACTGGTGAGGGGGCAGGGCCCGGGCGAGTGGGGCTGTGCCTGGGCACAGGTGCCGGTAGCCTCGCCATTCAGCCAGAAGACTCCCTGGGCTCCCAGGTCCCACCACAACCTGAGGATCCTGAGCCCATCCCCCCCTCCCCCCCTCCCTGCCCAAAGCCTCAAGAGGTTGTAGATCGAGGTCCGTTTTTGGTCACTTTAATTGTAAAAACCAAGACATTTATATAAATAAGACCGCTGTGTAAAATAGGATTCACCCTTCTACTAAAACCTTTCTCCCCACGCTCAAAAAAGAATATAGAAAACCCAGCAGAGATAAGAAGTACAAATTAGCATGCGGTCCCTGATGAGCAGTGGCCGGCAGGCCAGGATTCCCTGCCGAAACAGGCCTCATGGTATGTGCACTCCTGGCCCGGGAGCCTCGCCGGAGGCTCAGTGACGCCCACCCCCCTCTGCCTGGGGTACCGAGTGCGCGGGGTGGAGGCGGTACAAAAGGTTCATGTGGCCAGAGGACCGGGGGGGGGGGGGGAAGGCTGCAGGGTCCTCACGCCAAAGCCGGGGACTAGGGAGCGATTGGCCCAATGAGATGCAGTGGTTTGTTCAGCCTGGGGTCCAACTGGGGAAGGGGCTTCCGGAGGGGGCCACCATTTCTCCAGAGGACAAGGGGAGACGCTGCCAGTGTCCCCTGAGAGGACAGGCTCCTCGTGGGGCCATCTGCCTACGGCCACTGAAGACCAGGAGAGTGCACCCCCGCCAGCAGTGCTGGGGGTGGTCGGGCAGGGGGCTCCCGGGAGGCAAGGGGACAGCAGGCTTGGGGCTGGCATGTCCTGGGGAGAAGACTCCCACCTCCCCGCCCTCCTACCCTGTCACATTTCCCACCCCTCCCCTGCATCGAGACCACAGCCTGCTCTCCCTTTCACACGCTGGGGGCCTGGGGGAAGACAGGTCCACTCGCTCACACACTGGCCGTGGCTCAGAGACTCGTAGGAAAGACCCCAGACTCTCCTCCGACACACCAGGACCTGCCTGGGGCTGCTCCCCATCCCCGAGGGGTGGCAGGAGGTGGCCCTGCAGGGCCGGGGGCCGGGGTGCGGACGGCGTCAGGAGCACTTCCAGACACACACAGCCAGGGTCCCCCCGAAGTACAGGTAGAGGAGGTTCTTCACCTCATGTGTGATCTCAAACCCAAAACCCTCGCCGATGACCACGTGCCAGGAGGAGCCGAACTTCTTATCCATTGTCTCCTTGATCATCTTGGCTGCGCTCTGGGAGGAAGAGGACGCTCGTCAGGTGCGGGGAGAGGGCGCACGGGTCAACCCCCCCTCTGGGAATCTCGGCAAGATAAAAGCCTGTCGCCCTCCTGTTGTTCTGCTCCCGGAACCTTCAGGAAGGGTTTCCACACTGCCCCCCACCCCCATGCTGCCAGGGGGCTAGCACACAGGGACGGAAACAGACGTGACCCCAGCCGTCAAGAAGACACCGACGAGGGAGGGGAAGCAGACCCTGGTCCGCAGGCGGCCGCGGGTCCGAGCTCTGGCTCTGCCACTTAGCGCGTGTCTCTGGCGTCGGCAGCGCCAGGCGGTGCTCGGGCCTCAGCGATGCGCAGGGACGTGCCCCACAGCAGTCCACAGACTCTGTGAGGTTATCCTCCCTGCGAGCGCTCAGCTTCATCTTCAGGGGACAGAAAGGCTTTTCCTAATGGGTTTGGGGGGCTCCCGGAAGAGAAGCTGGACTGCTTCCCTCAGTTATGGCAACAGCCCCCATTCCTTCCTGTGCTGGCTCTTTCGAGAAGCTTCTTTTGAGAAGAAGCCTAGGGAGGGCCAAGGGACCCAGCCTTGGAGGGTGAGTCCCACACTCGGGTGCGTGCTGAGCACCACCAGCGGGCCAGGTGCTTGGCCTGCACCACCTCAGCACACACCTCCTCACGAGCGCCCATCGAGGACGCAGCATCTGACTCCCCACTACAGACTGGGACACCGGGGATCAGAGATGGGAAATGGCTTGTCCAAGGTTACAGAGCTAGGAAGGGCTGGAGACAGCATTTGAACTTGGGCCTCATTGGCCCAAAGCCCAGGCTCTCGTCGGCCAGGGTCTCCCCACTGGCTGCCACGTTAACTGACTTTCTCCCTCGTCACCAGACTGATGAACGATGTTCCTGCGTCAGTGCCTACTGGCCGCGGCCCCAGCACCTAGAACAGCGACTGGCACGAGAGGTGGCATTTCACATCTTTTCTGAACGGATGAATGGATACACGAATGAATGCCTGGCCGGGCCCTGTTCTCCCCTGGGATGGAGCCAAGGGGAAAGGTAGCCTATTGGGCAGGCCGCGGCAGCACGGAGGGCCCTCCAGGGCTGGACGCGACCAGCAGACCAGTGCCCGGAGACAGCACCAGCCCCTTCCGTTCCTGGCCTTCCTCGGGCTTCGAATGCTTCCAAGGAAGGCGTTAGCCATCCCAGTAGGACTCTCTGGAGCTGGATGTGGGGACGGGGGCCACCTGATTCACCCACGGGGGTCACCAAAGGCACAAGAGGCTGCCTGTACCAATGGCAATACCTCGTTGTTGTTGGAGAATTTCTCACAGGCCGTGACACATAGCTCCATGGTCTCCACTCGCATCTCCTCTGGCATGTCCGAGTGCTAGAGACAGGGCAGGGGGACAAACAGAGAGGCTTAGCCCATGATCTGGCCTTCTGGGCTGGCCTCTCTGTCCCAAGCTTAAGGCACAGACACTGGGGAGCTGCTCTGGCACAGCCCAGAGAGGTGACTCATCTCCGGACTCGGGGCATGGAATCCAGTGGAACCAAGCAGGCTCTCACACCCGGGCCCCCCCTGCAAGGGCACGAAGCTTCATTGGGATTGCGTTGCAGCCAGCAGCCTCGGGGAAGCAGGCTGGCCCGGGCAGGAGAGGATGCCGGTTACAGAAACAGTTTAGAAGCGGCCGTAGAACACAGCTGGATGTCACCGCAAAAGCCTGGAGAGACAGCTCGGCCACTCTCGATGGCTCCTGGCTTTTCCCGTCTCTGGCTGCTCTTTCTCGTCCACTTTGCTGGCACCCCCCCCCCCCCCCCCCCCCCGACTGTGGGCCGGTCCTGGGCTTCATCTCTGCCCTCTGGCTTCTCCAGCAATCTCCTCTCCAGCAGATCCCAGCCCGTCCTGCGGATCTATCTTCTACACGGGGAGGGCTCCCACATTTTCACTCCCAGTTATAACCTCTTTTGGGGGCTCCAGACTCCTACATGCAACCGTTTACTTGACAAGCTCACTGAGACGTCCAAAAGATAACTCGACTTTCCCCACAAGCCTGCTCTTCCTCCATCTTCCTTCCATTTCCTCTCCTAAGTTCTGGAAAAAACCAACCCTGGGAGTTATCTTGATCATCGTGTGCCCTTGTACCTGGCACCCAAGGCACCAGTGAGTTCTACTGTCTTGACCTTCAAGATCTGTCCTGAGTGTGACCATGTCTGCCTCCATGCCATGACCTGGACCCAGCCGCCCCTTCATCTCTCTGGGCCCCTGAGGTAGCATCCTCATTGGTCTCCCCACTTCCACTCTGGTCCCCTAAAATCCATTCTCCTTACAACAGCTGGAGTGAGCTTTTAGAAACATCAAATGGATCACATTACTCCTCTGTTTAAAACATCCACTGTTCGCCTTTGAACTCAGGACAGCACCCCTGTTTGTCATCAGGCCTGTCGGGCTGGCCGGCCCGCCTGTGAGGTCCGGCCGGCTGTCACTCTGGCCCTCACGGCCCGCCATCCATCTCCACACTCTGGTCTTCTGTTCCTCCAAAACTTGGAGCTCACTCCCACCTCGGATTTTCTGTGCTCGCCGTTTCCCCTGCTTCGAATGTTCTTCCCCAGACATCCACAAGGCTATCTCCCCAACTTCATTCTAGTCAGAGATCAGAGAACTCTTTCCAGAAGCTAACCTCTCCTCTCTAGCCCCATACACCTGCTTTATTTTTCTTTATAGCACTAATTACCTGAGTTATGTTCCTTAAGCCTCTCTTTCATGTGGCCCGGGCCTCTGTTGTTCCCTGCTACGTCCACAGTGCCTAGAACAGTGCCCAACACGTCGTAGGTGGCCTAAGAAGACGTGTCGAATGAATGAATGGATGATGGAATGAAGTGCTGTCGACTCCCAGACCTCTAGATCTGAGCCCACAGAGCCCTTCACTTCCTCCTTCTGCTGTCCTGCAGGGAACGAGCTGCTGACAGCCCTGCCTCCCTCCCCTGTGGCTTACCCTGACCAGAGGGAAGGTCTGCAGTCGCTTATAATCAGCCTCCTCTTTCTTCCCTTCTGTTTCTCCCATGATCCTTCCACTGTGACCACTGGAGGGAGAGAGTGGGGCTTTCAGGAGGCGCGGGCACTGGCAGTGAAGACACCCCCGGGAGATTTCGGAAGCAGGCCCTGCCAACTGGGTGGTAGCAGAAAATGTCTTTCCTCAAGGGGTGCTGTAGAAAACAGGAAAAACCAGGAGAAAGAGTTGGCTTTAAACCCATATATCACAAATTAGAAATGTCTCACTGACAGTGTGACACCTCCCCGTCTTAACTCCTCCACATCCTTTTCCAAATGGCCAGCAAGTCTACAGACGGGAGGATGAGTCAACGTGAGCTGCTGGGACCGGTAAGAACACACTGGTATGCTGCTGTAAGCCCACACTGTCATTATCAAGACAAATACTGACTGCGGGCCAGGCCGAGGATGGAGCTTGAGCCGGCAATTAACAAACACAGCAACCCTGCAGGAACACTAATGTACGTGGTCCTTACTTCCCCGCACACGTGGCTAGAAAGTTAAATGTCAAGGTCAAGATTGATAATCCTGGGCTTAGGGACAAGCAAGTACCTCCTTCCACAGGTCCCTGATCTATGGAAGGAACGGGAGCAGCGATGCTCCGTGTCCTCCTGGGCATGACCGGCTCCCAGCTCAGGCCTCCCTGTCCCATCTGGCTGGTCCAGAAGGTGTAAGGCCTGGGCATTAGTGCTGGTTCTACTGTTCACCAGCAGCGTGGCCTTGGGCCTCAGATGCCTCATCAGTAACACGGGGGTAAGTCACATCTATCTCTTGGGGCTGTAAGAGATCAGATGAGACAATGTATGTAAAGCGGCTAACACAGGGCCTGGCACGTGGCCACATACATGAGAGAATGTGCGTGCATATGAACACAGAGGTATAAAGCCTAACACATAATGTTTGGATTTTTTTCTTTTCAAATCTAGTTATATAATAACAGATGGGACTTTTCCTAAAGAGATGAGCCTGGATCCTAAATGTCTGGGAGCATTGCTAGAAATCCTGGTGTTTCTCGTTATTCTACAATTCAATTTATCCTGTAATTCAAAGGACTTTTTCATCTCATAAGAAGTACCGATCTAGGGCACCTGGGTGGCTCAGTCCGTTAAGGATCTGCTTTCGGCCCAGGTCATGATCCCAGGGTCCTGGGATCGAGTCCCACATCAGGCTCCCTGTTCAGCGGGGAGTCTGCTTCTCCCTCTGCCCCTCCCCCCAGCTCCTGCTCAAGTGCTCTCTCTCTCTCTCTCTCAAAAATAAATAAAAAAAAAAAAGAAGTGCTGATCTAAATGCATACAAGCCACTGTGCTATGAACCCTGTTTAACCATCCATGCTGGACAAATACAACCCGATAATGTTCCTCCAGCATGTCCCACAGTTGCAAATAGGTTTGTTTTCATGGCACAGCCACCAAAGCCGGAAGACGCCTAGCAGAGTAACTAACGGGCAGTGATGACAGTTGCTATCTGCTAGGTTTCCGGTCCCTAGGGCCCTGCTGCAGCAGCGACCCCACGGGGAGGCGTGAAGCTGTTACTTCGTCGGCCCGGGGCCTCAGCTGGTGAGCAGCAGGGCTGGTGTCCGGCGTGGGCCCTCCTCACAGCGCCAACCCACGGAGGCGCCCACGCAACCGGCCTCCAGCCAGCCGCTGCCAGTGAAGTACACGTCTGATGTCTGGCCAGTCGGTGACCACCGTCCTAACGTGAACTCGACCCCTGTGTGGCCGAGTGCTGAGCTTTCTGCATTTTTTCTGGGCCGTGCCCTCCATTTTCTCCCTCTCTCTCTCTGATGCCTCAGAAGCCTTCCGCACCCCCCCATGTGGTGGGCTCCCTCGCACAAGGCTGGAGCCTGCCCCCGACTCCACCACCGGATTTCCGCACGGCTCCTCTTAGCTCATCAAGTCTGGGCATCTGGAGCACTCGGATATTAGCGATTTTTGTCTCTACGTGGAAGCTGGCAAACGACCAGGCGCCACCTCATTGTACTTTCTGCTCGTGTTTCTTATTTCACAAAATCCAGTGAATCCTTTGGTCTTTGCTCATTAATGTGAAGGCCCACCTCCAATTCCATCCTGTCCTCCCAGCAAGGCCACTTGCTTGCCGCCCCCTCCACATTATCCAGGTGTGATGATCAAAGGCTAAGGGCTTTAAGGTTTGTTCACCTCCCGAGATTTTCAGCTGAAAATGCTGAACACTGGGTCCTCAGCAGCTGCTGGGGCCTCTTCCACCTAAGTATTTCAATTCGATCCAATTCCTCCTCGGGGCTCACAAGTGCTGGCCTGGAGTGGCCTGAAAGAGAATCCAGAGGCGAGCGGGTAACATGCCTGCCCTGGGGGAGGGCAGGGGCTGTGGCTGCTCAGAGTCTGTGGACCTGAGAATATGGAATCCTGATGAAACAGGACTCAAGAGGCCAGAGGTATTGCCAAAGTCCATCCTTCAGGAACAAGGGGGGAAGAGCCATGGGGACAGGTATTTTTTGGAGGGGGGCTGTGGAGACCCATGAGGCAGAGTATTTAGGCTTGAATGCCTGTTCTATAACCAAAGTGAATTCTACTTTCTCCCTTGCTTTGCAGCCTTGGGCAAGTAATTGCACCTGAGTCTTGGTTTCCTCCTCTGTGAAATGGGAGAAACCCATCTTCTCGTTCTTAGAGGTCCACCGCGAGCATCAACTGGAGGCCTGTGAGCATTTGGAAATGGCAAACCCTGCACACTGTGCTCACTGCGCTGCTCTAACTGCCGCCTGCCACCGGCCAGGGCTTCAACATTATCCAAGCACGCTGATTAAGGACCACAATTGTAAATGGCTCTTCCTAACCACTACCTGTACTTCTGGGGATTCAAAAGGGATGAGACTTAGAGAATAAAAAGGAACAGTTATAGATGATGTGCTTCCAAATATGGAAAGGCAGGAGACTCTTTTATGACGCTGTGTCCTTACAGAGTACAGCTGTAGTCATCGGCCGTGACTTAAAACCCGGCTGGAAGAACGCTACCAAAAATAGCGGACCCAGAGGTTTTAATAACCTTATCAATCTTCCATGCAAATGAGCGTGTGCCTGAGAGCTCCAGGCCAGAAAGAAGTCCCATCAGGCCTAAAAGAGAGCCCTTTAATAATGTAAGTGTGGCCACGGCCAGGGTCCTTGAATCTCTTGGGTACCAGTCCCAGGATGTCCTGGCGCACCAAGCTGGTGGCAGCCGCACCCTCTCTCCGCCCAAGGGCGCCTCCGCGAGCTTTACCCAGCCTCGCCCGTGTCTGTTGCAAGGCTTCTCCCAGGCAACAGGGGGCACAGACAGGGCTCTTCCTGTCATCGCCTTGGAACAGCCAGTGCCCCTGTCCTGCTATCTGGGCCTTGTTCTTCTGTGACACTGACCTCAGTCACAATGTATTGTGTTGCTTCTGAAGCATTTCGGAAGAATCCTGAAGAGGGCTAGAGGATGGGGGAGAAATGCAGGAATTCTGGGAAATAAGGCCCAAAGTGTCTGCCAGTCCTCTGGGGGTGCCCCCAGCCACTCAATGCCCAGAACCCTCCTGGCCTGTGGACCTCGGGGCGCCCCTGGTAACCACCCCAGGATCCGAGAGATGGGAGGACACACTCAGAGCAGGACGGGGTGGTGGTTGGGTGCAGGCTCCACAGGCAGGTCCAAATTCACATCTCAAGTCTCAGACAAGTGTTTCTCTCTCTAAGCCTTAGTTTTCTCATCTGGAAATTGGGATAAAGCATAGACTACTTCACAGTAAATGTCAGCTCTTGTTACTGGTGGACTCGGAGCGGGACCTGCAATGTCTTTCTTCATATGCCAGCTCGCTAAACATCTAAACATTCAGCCAAACAAACCAATACTTGCCACGTTGTCACTCTGCAAACCACAGTATTAGCATGGATGGGCGAAAGTCACAAGGAAATTCTGTAGAACAAGTTGAGGCCAGTGCTAATGGTGTGGGTACACTGGGTTTTCACCTTGTTTCATGTCACCCCATAACAACCCGTGGAGGCAGCATCCACTCCCAGTTCTCAGAGAGGTTTTGGAGCTCGCCCAAAGGTACACAGCCAGTAATGACAGAGCCAGGATCCAAACCCATACCTACTCTTCTAATTCTACCTTGTATGCCTTTTCCCCAGTCACAAGCAAGTAGGAGACAGACAGAAGTGCAAAGAGCTTCAATTCTCAGCATCTCCCAGTCCAGCCACCTGTCCAGGCACACCTCCTGCTTCCAGCCATAACCAGGATACACACTTGTGTACCCTGGTCATCCCCCCACCTTTCCCGGCCACGTCTACCCTCTGCCTTCTGGCAAACACAGAGCAAAGCTGGCAAGGGGAGGAGAGAGGAACCTAAGGGCCTGGGGCCATTCATCCAAGATGGTGGTGAGGTCAGGAAACATCATGGAAGATCTGGATTTTACAGATCAGCTTAGAAAGGGGGAAGCAAACGCAGGTCTGCGTTTTTAAATTATGCTAAGCAAGAGCATTAAGCACATTATCTACTATAAAGGAAGGTTTTAATAGAAGGAGATGGTTGCAGAATAAAAGACAGTCCTTGGAAAAGACTGTTACCTTTCACACACGCACGTATGCATGTGCGCACATGTGTGCATGCGGGCACGCACGCACACACACACACACACACACACAAAGTTGCTGCTGTTGGTATTGTTTTTAACATTGCCCTTCTTTTTTTCTCATTTTATTGAGGTCCAGTGAACACTTTTGCTGTGCCTTAGACTTAGCAGAGGGATGGAAGACAAAGGAGGAAGAGAAAGAGATGGAGAGATGAAGAGATCAAGGCATTTTCTTTATGTGTAACCTGATAGAATAAACAATATTGACTCACGTGGTACCCCCTCACCAACATACCCAAATTCGGATGAAATACCAAACATTTTGTCAAGCTACAAAGTACAGCAAAAAGTCATAACCATCCCAGCTATTAGCTCTACACAAGAACAGATGCTTCCCACAGACAGGATTACGCAGTTTCCCACCCCCCCTTTCCCACTCAAGAGAACAGATTTGAACGTAAGGGACTAAGAATGACATTATTACAGAAATAAATTGGAGTTAGCACTGATTATGTTTTTTGTCATTCACAACTGCTAATTACTGGTGACATCTCATAACCAGTCACGACTTAGCAATCACCTGAGGCTGAAGAACTTAACTATTCTCCCTGTAGATGCCCCAGAGTGCAAAAACCAGTGTCTGGCACATGGCAGAAGCCCATCAGATATCTATATTGTGGTTAAATTATATTTCATTTGTCCCCCTGGGAAGGGAGAAGACCTATCAAATCCATTCAATATTTATTGAACACTGACCTTGAGCAAGGCAACAGGATGGGTGTCCTACATACAGGATCTTATTTACTGTCCACCCCCCCCAATAACTGTTAGACAGGTGCTATTATCCTTACTTTTCTGATGACCATGATGGCTGAGAAAAGGAAAGTGACATTCTACCCAGCTAACAAATGGAGGAGCTAGGATTCCCTCAGGCATATAGGACTTCAAGATTATGCTTTTTCTTTCTTTTTTTTTTTTAAAAGATTTTATTTGTTTATTTGACAGAGGGAGACACAGCGAGAGAGGGAACACAGGCAGGGGGAGTGGGAGAGGGAGAAGCAGGCTTCCTGCCAAGCAGGGAGCCCGATGTGGGGCTCAATGCCAGGACCTGGGATCATGACCTGAGCCGAAGGCAGATGCTTAACCGACTGAGCCACCCAGGTGCCCCAAGATTATGCCTTTTCAATGACTCCACTATAAGCAAGAGACAGTCTCTGCTTTCAAGGAGCTTACAATCTGAGAGACCAAGACACATACACAAGGAACTAACTATGGTTCATGGCAGAAAGCAGTACATGCCACAAGGCAGATGCAGAGACAGAGGGAGGAGGAGAATTCTGGAAAGGGCAGGGGAGAGGACAGCAAGGAAAGCTGGGTGGTAGGGGCAGAATTTGAGTGGGAATCCTGGCAAGTGGATTAGGTGAGGAAGACTTTCTGGACAGAGAGATGAACAAACACAGTGATATCCAAGCAGAAAGCTCAAAGCATTTTCTGGGAAAGTCCAATGGTCCAATTTGGCTAAAGGACAGAACCTGGCACAGAAGGGAAAATGAAGGCTGGGAAAAAATGCTGGGGTTGGGCTGTGGAAGTACAGAAGGGCTCTAAAACCTAGGCTTAATAAGTGTGGATATTTTTAGTGGGAAATGAGAAGCCCTTGAGAGGTCTCTTGGGGGTTGGTGACATTGCATTGTTTTCAGACAATTATGCTGGTGGGCTGGGTAAACAGAAAAGACTGGAGGTAGGGACACCAGTTAGGAAGCTAGAGCACTGGCTCAGGTGACAGGCATTAAAGACTTAAAGACTTGAGCCAAGATAGTAGCTTCAGGAATGGAGAGGATGTGAGGTCCTCGAGGAGGCAGAATCAAAGGAACTTGACAACTGCCTGAGTGCGAGGGGCATGGCAGAGCGAGGGAGGGTGGCCACGCCACTGAGAAAGGGCAAGTCAGGTAGAATGGATGGACAGGTAAAGACGTGGGCCAGTTTGATTTTAGAAATACTGAGTTTAAATGGCTGGTGAGACCAGGGTCCTGGGATCAAGCCCCGCATTCGCACCCCGCTCCGTGGGAAGCCTGCTTCTCCCTCTCCCACTCCCCCTGCTGTGTTCCCTCTCTTGCTGTGTCTCTCTCTGTCAAATAAATAAAAATCTTAAAAAAAAAATGGAGGTGTCTTGTCAGAAGTAGGTTATCACCAAATCAGGATCATTGGGCACAGATGGGAAGCTGTTGAGTCCAACCACCAATAGCAATAATAACTCACACTACCCTCACCCCCGCCCCAAAGCATCCCTAACCATGGAAGCCCAGGAGAAAGATCAGAGCAGGAGATCTGGATTTGAGGGTCACATGAAGAAATGACGGCTGACACTAAAGGTACTGGTGACACTTCTCAGAGGGGGAGAATGTGGGGAAGTAAGAGACAGAGGAAGTGAAGTAACAAATACTAAATCCACACTGAACTAGACTCTTCATACTTCAATTCCTATTATCCTCAGAATTCCCCCAAGGAGATGCCCTATTGTATCCTGATTTCATATACACTCAGACTGGAGCCCAGGGAGGTTAGATAACTTGCTAAGGTCCCGTAATTGAGAATCCAAATTAGGTTTGCCAAGTTCTTTTCACTACACCCGGTAACTCCCATGGGTACATCCTCAGGGAAGCCTATAGCTGGGTCAAAGAATCACATCCTAGAACGGCAGAGTCGAAGAGGCCTTAGAGATTATTCAACCCAACTTCAATTTACAGATGGGGAAACTGAGGCCCGAAGAAGGAAGTGACCAGCCTGGAATCCTAGCACGTCACCAACTGTCCAAGTCAAGCGGTCTGGGCCAAGGCGATGGCGACCACCCGTCCAGCCGCGGGAGTGGGGAATTACTCCGCGAAACGTTGCGGGGGTGGTAATCAAGGTCCTGGGGGTAGTCGGGTCGAGGAGGATGGTGGACCGCGCAGCGGGACGGGTGTGTGGGGGAAGGAGCACCCCGCAGAGTCGCCACCGCTAATCTGTCACGGCCGAGTTCGCAGGTCCCCGAAGTGTGGGGGTTGGGAGGACCTGGGGTTGGGGACCAGCAGGCAGGAGACGAGGTGGGGCCTCCGCGTTGGGCGAGGCCCCACCCGCCCTGTGACGCCTCTCGGCCCTGCTTCGGGCCGGCCCTCCCCGCCCGGCTGCCCGCCGCACCCCGGGGCCTCACCTGCTCCCGCGGGGGCCGGAGCCGGGGCCGCAGCTAGCGCACCCCCGCCAGGGTTGTCAAGGAGCGAAACAAGAGTGTCTTAGCAACAACAAGGAAGTCCTGCCCCCTCACCGGACGTTAACGGGGATTTCACTTTTTATTGGTGAATAAAAGTGTCAATCAATGTTAAAGGCCCCTACAACGTAAGGCTTGTACGGAAAGGGGCGTGGCTAGAGGTTAGGGAGGCGGAGCTTCAGTTATAGTCGTCTTCAGTGGGCCTGAGGAGCCCGGGAGGTAGGAAGTTCGCATTTTAGAGAAATAAACTTTGAAGGGCGGTATTACCTTGGGCGCTTCTTTTAGCCATTTGAAATTACAAATGCAATTTGTTGGTGTCCTGCTACTGAGATACTACTTCATTAGGATCTCAGAAGCCTAATAACAACTAGCATTACAAAAACTAGGCTTTGCAAGGAGTATTTCACTAGATTCTCACAATTTTTTTAGGTAGTGGTATTCGTAACCATTCGTAACCATTCGTAACCATCTGCACTAAGGTTCAGAGAGGTTAAGAAACGTGTTAAAGGAAAGAATCAAAGTAAAACTCCCTGAGGTGGAACCAGGTGCTCTTTCCACTGTAGCACACCCTCATATGACTTCCGAGTCCATAGGAGATGTTGTACCATCTAATTTAAAGACACAGTTGTCCAGAGCCCGCCTTTTCTTACATTTAGGAGGGAAAATTAATCCGAAAGTATTAGTACAGCTAGGGAAAAGGGAAAGGGGGGGAGAGAGAAGAACCTGCAGATTCAATTACTTGATTGGTGTGTCAGAGGGTCAGTGGGTTGACTTCATAATTTCAACATTTACTTTATCATGATGGGTACTTCGGGTGAAACCCCACTTCACATTCACTGGCACTTACTGGGAACTCAGCCCTGGCCAGATGCTGGTCATTCAGAGAAGAGTAAGATGACCTTGGTTCCAGAGAAGACACAGTCCAGTGAGGGTACAGCTGTGTCAACAAATAGATAAGAAGACTTTCTTCTACCTGTACTCTGGTGCAGGTGTGGGCAAGGTGCTGGTTCTTTCCAAGGAGGGAGTAACTAACTCTCAGAGGTGGTGGTATTTGCGTTTGCTGTGTCTAAGACGACTAGTAGGCTAATGAGGGTGGGAGAGCACAGTTAACTGGGGAACTGCCAGTGACTCCATGAAGCCTGGGTTGAAGGTGAATGTGATACAGTGGGAGGCCACAGTGAAGAGGGTGGGGGTGAAGATGCAGAGGGAAGGTGGGATCACCAGAGTCAGAAGGGTTTTGAATGCCAAGGTCAGGGACTTGGGTATTTCCTGGGAGTGTTCCCTGGTATTCTCTTGGGTGAGAGTGGGGAAAGTAGCTGTTGGACAGTTTCAAGTAGGGCAGAAAGATAGTCAGATCTGAGTCATGGAAAGATCACTTGGGCGGTGAATATGGTGGAATGCACTTGGAGTGGGTAGACAGAAGGAGGGCACAGTGGGTTTGGTTTTGCGATTTGGCAGCTTGAGGTGTGCTCGGCCCTTGCCGATTCCCAAATTGCCTTCCTGGTGCGTTCTGAAGGTCCATGGAATGTCTGACTCAGCCTCCAGATTTCCCCAATCCTCTTTGCCAAGTTTCTCCAGGAGATGGAAGTTGGCCTTTGAGGGGGATGAAGCTCTCGCCTCCGCCTCTCATCCAAACTTCTAAAAGGGGTCTACGTTTGCTGTCTTCTATTTCTCACCTCCTATTCAGTGTTCAGCCCACTGCAATCTGGCTTCCACACCCACGCTCCCACCACCGAAATTACCTCTTTCATGGTTACCGGTGACCTCCTGAAGAGCAGAATCCAACAGATCTTTATCTTGCTGGATCCATCACTTCTGCTGGTGTAAGCCTGTCAACCACACCTGTCTTCGTGAAATTCTCTACTCCAGAAATAGTGCCTGCAGAACTCTTTACAATGCGGCTTCTAGGGCCCCATGGCATCAGAATAGAGAAGGGCAGGAATCTGTATTTGTCACAAGTGCCCCTGGTGCACAGTCACAGTTGAGAGTCACTGCTCTATCATCCAGGGCACCTCATTCTCCTGGATCTCCTCAAACCTCTCTTCCTTTCTGGCTCCTTTTTTCCTTTGCTCTCTGTGCCCACCTTGACTATATTTCCTTCTTACCAAGGGTCTCAAATTTCTTCCTACCCTAGATCACATCCTCATCAGCAAGAGTTTCCCTTGGTCACACTTCCTAGGGTATTTATTGAAATTGAAGGTTGGTGCCTTGGGAAAGCCCCTCTGGTGATTCCAAACCCTCCTAAGGAGTTATGCCATCCCATGCATATCTTGTTGAGAATTGCTGCCTTACGTCTTGTCCTTTGGGGATCTCATCCACTCCCATGGTTCCATTGTCAATGTCCTAGATTCTGATGGCTCTTGTGTTTTTCTCTCCAGATTAGGCTTCTCACTGGACCTCCAGACCTAAATATCCAATTGCTCCTGACCATCTCCACCAGAATGTCCCACAAGCCCTTCAATGTCAATGTGTCCCAAACTGAATTGATCATCTCCCTCCAACTTGCTCTCCCTGTATCCCCCATCTCAATAAATGGCACCACCAAGTTGCTTCCATCAGAAACCAGAGAACTGTGTCCTTCATACTTATTGCCCCGTCATCGCCCACCTCAAGTCAACCAAAAGCCTCCTGATTCTGATTCTTATGTCCTGATTACAGACCTCTGTGCTCCCATCTCCTCTGGTGCCTACTCCTGTCATTGCTCTTCTCCATTATCCCTTCTGGCTATCTTCATGGCACTCCCCATGTGTACAACACCATGATCCAATCTGTATTATTGCAACAGCTTTCTAAAAGGACTCCCTGACTGCAGTCTTGCCCTTCTCCAATCCATTCTCCATGTCACAGTCAATGTGATGTGTCTAAAACCCAAATTTCACCACTGCATTCCTCTCTTTAACAACTCCTTGCCTTTCTCCACAGTTCCCCATAACCTGCCAGGTGACATCCAGATGCCATGATCTGCCATTTGAGGCTTTCCCATGCACCTCCATCTCTTCTTGCTGCTCCTTCCCCTGTGCTCTGCACCCCAGCTACACCAGCTCTCATGGCTCTCCACACCCTCCAAGCTGCTTCTCACCTTGCCTTTGCTCACACACCCTCTTGGCCGCATTCTCTCTCTGGACTTCCTCCTTTTGGCTATATGAGCCCATACACGTTTGGTCTAAGTTGTACACACTGGGATTCCATCACTGGCAACCAAAAGAGACCTCTGTGCTGCCATCTCCTCTGGTGCCTACTCCTGTCATTGCTCTTCTCCATGGTTTAATTCTCTGTCTTCCCCTGTGAGCTCCTGGAGAGCAAGAACCTTGTCCTAGTCATCTCTACAGCTCTATGTCACACACAGGATCTAGCAGAGAGTAGGTGCTTAGTAAATGTTTCATGAATGAATGAAGTGGATAGGATCTCACCTTACTTCTTCAGACTTAGCTCCTGTCAATCCTCAAGATTCAGCCAATATTCCAGCTGCACCCTTTCATGTTCTGCTCCTGCTCCTGCCATTTAACATGGCTGATGGGGACACCCTGGAATCAGTTAGCAATTGGATCAGCTGCAAGTAACAAAGATTGGAAAAATAATGACTTTAAACAACATAAATTTATTATCTTTTTTTAAAAAGTAGGCTCCACGCCCAGTGTGGAGCCCAATGCGGGGTGTGAGCTCGCAACCCTGAGATCAAGACCTGAGCAGAGATCAAGAGTTGGACGCTTAACTGACTGAGCCACCCAGACGCCCCATAAATTTACCTTATAGTTCTGGAGTCAGAAATCTGACATGATGGGTCTCACCAGGCTAAAAGCAAAGTGTTCCCAGGGCTGCATTCTTCCTGAGGCTATAGGTGAGACTGTTTCTTTCCCTTTTCCAGCTTCTAGAGACTTTCTGTGTTCCTCTGACCCTGGCTCTTCAATCTCCCTTTCACATCTAAGGAATCTTGTGATTACACTGGGTCCATCCAGATAATCCAGGTTAATCTCCTTATCTCCTGGTCATATGATTAGCAGCCTTAATTCCATCTGCAATCTTATTTCTCCTTGCCATGTGATATAACATATTTACAGGTTCTGGGGATCAGGATATAGACATATTTGGGGGACCATTATTCTACCTCCTGTGGTCAGTTTGGGTAAATTTTCCCCCATGTAATTGAAAAGAATATCTATTCTGTAGTTGCTCTGTTAGGTCAAGTTTGTTAATCATTTTGTACAAATTTTCTATACTCATACTGAACTTTTTGTCTGCTAGCTTTATAAATTATTGAGAGAAGTGTGTTAAAATATCCCACTACAATTGTGGATTTGTCAAATTCATCTTTCAGCTCTGTCAATCTTTACTTTATATATTATGAAGCTGTGTTAATACATATTTTTCTATCTTTTAAATTTCAACCTGTCATATAACCAGTTTGACAAGATTAATATTTTCATTGGCATATTTCCCTTTTAATATTTAATGTAATAACCCACTTACATTACATTTAGGTTTAAAGCAATGAACACACTATTCATTTTCTATTTATTCTATCCTTTTCGTGTTCCTTTTTTCTTTCCTTGTTAAGCCTTCTTTTGAATTGTTTTTATTATTCTATTTTTTCTTCTATTGAACTTGTTAGTTACGTAATCTTTCACAATCCTTTCAGCAGTTACCCCAGGAAAATAAAATGTTGACCCTAGATGTATTAAAGTCTAATATAAAATGAATACTTTTATTTCTTTTAATTTTATTTTTTAAAGATTTTATTTATTTATTTGACAGAGAGAGACATAGCAAGAGAGGGAACATAAGCAGGGGGAGTGGGAAAGGGAGAAGCAGGCTTCCCGCTGAGTAGACAGCCCGATGCGGGGGCTCGATCCCAGGACCCTGGGATCATGACCTGAGCTGAAGGCAGACGCTTAACGACTGAGCCACCCAGCCGCCCCTAAAATGAATACTTTTAGTACGTCCAGGACAATGCAAGGAAATTAGAACACTTTAACTGCATTTACCTCTTCCCACCTTTTATTCTGTTGTTATCATGAATTTTAAACCTCACAGGAGATAACTGT